CGTGAGACCACATTTTTACACGTAACCTTCACAGCAAAAACACTGTGAAGGTTTAAAAAAAGTTGAACCTTCACAGCAAAAACACTGTGAAGGTTTTAAAAAGTCACCTTCACAGCATTTTGCTGTGAAGTTTCAAGTGTAAAATGTTGGTCTCACGGGTCTCACGAAAAAAAGTTGGTCTCACATGATCCCAAGTCTATATATATATACATATATATATATATATATATGAGCGTTCAAATAAAAACCGGCCCCATTTGTGTAAACCGTGTAAACCGATCTCATCAATTCATTTTCTTAATCAATGACCCAAATTAGTTTACTTTATTTTAGGAAAATAAAAATTTATATTAAAAATTTATTTTATTTAAGAGTAAGGGGATAAATGGTAAACAAAATTTAATATTTGGTAACATCCTACTCGATCTTTCATGAATCTTTTTTCATGCAAAWTTATTTTCTTCCAAGATTAGTTTACTTTCATGAATCTTTTTTCATGCAAAATTATTTTCTTCCTTTTCTTCCTGGTTTGATGCATTAATTCCTTTAAACCTTGCAATCTTAAAGATTCTAAAGCATATTACAATCTTCAAGATTCTGGAGCAGTTTCTTCATGTACCCGTTTCATCATTCAATTATTTCATGACGAACCAAATACATTATGCAACCGTTTCACTAGCCATGCTCAAGAACGCCATGAACCAGTTTCACTTTCATGAGACCTATTTCATGTACAGTAATTTTCTTATTGCACCACTGATTTGATGGATTCATTCATTTAAGCCTTACAATCTTCAAGATTCTGGAGCAGGTTACAATCTTTAAGATTCTGTAGCAGATTAAAATCATTTCCTCGTTTCATCATGTACTTAGTTAATGACGCATCAAATACAAAATGCACCGGTTTCATTTTCCTATTCACCAACTAAATGGATCAACTACACAATCAATGCAACGGGTTCACCATGAAAATATTTCGGTTCACATAATTTATTTACAACATGAACCAGTTTCACGTTCATGAAACCTGTTTCATTTCTGGATTTTTTTTTGTTCATCTACGATTTGATGATTTCATTATACACTTCAATTGTTTCATTAAGACCCGTTTGCTGATTCTTAAAGATTACAATATATGAAATTCAAATTTTTAATATTATAATATAATTAAATATTTAAATGTTACCATTTATACAGTTTCATTTATTACGTTTCCCTAATTAAGATTTATTAATAACTTCCATATTTAATAGAAAATATTGTAAATGGATGAAATACCCTTATTGATTAATTTTAATTAGAAAAAAATGAAATTTTCCTATTAGTCGAAATTGGTTTACACGGTTTCTTAGAAATGCACGATTTTTAGGGTTAGATTCACGTGAGATCAATGGTTTTTCATGAGGCCCGTAAGACCAATGGTTTTTTGTGAGACATGTAAGACCAATTTATGTTCATTGATAAACTTTATAAGCTAATGATCTAATGGTCTAAAGTTGCACGGTGACAATTTTGTGATTATTGAGAAGTCTCGTGGCGTTTATGAATGTTCAGATTGTTTGACTATAGATCTAATCCAATGGTTGAGAATTGATCTTATTGGTCTCACGAAAAAGCTTTGGTCTCACATGATCCAAGTTTATATATATATATATAGAGAGAGAGAGAGAGAGAGACTTGGGATCATGTGAGACCAGCCTGTTTTCGTGAGACCCGTGAGACCAGCTTTTTACACTTGAAATTTCAGAGCAAAATATTGTGAAGGTAACCTTCACAATGTTTTTGATGTGAAGGTTCTACTTTTTTAAACCTTTACAATGTTTTTGCTGTGAAGGTTCAAGTGTAAAAATGTGGTCTTATGGGTCTCACGTAAACCCAACCATATATATATATATATATATATATATATATATATATATATATATATATATAGGGGCTCATTCAAGGAAAAATTGACTAGTTTGTGGTAGCCGTGAGATCCAATCTCAACCACAAATCAATAGATAAATTAAGAAGTTTATAATTTTGGTAATTCTGAATTAAAATTTTAATGAAAGGACATTTTAGTTTTTTAAAACTCTCTTCTCTTCTCTCTGCGTCCCTATATATATAATAAAAGAAGGCTTTCTTATTAGGTTGGCCTAACCAGTTCAATAACCTGGTACAATCGGTAAGGATTTTATAGTTGACAATCGGTTATAACCAGGAATGATACCAATAATGTTACCAGTTACACTATACAAACATCATACCAGGTATCAGTAGTAACAGGTTACCAGCCGGACTATTCTATTGCGTATTTAATCTCATCTTTTTTATTTTCACACAACTTATAAAACTATAAAATTGTAGAACAATGATTTTTTGAATTTCATTGTATCGTTGTTTTGGATATGTGCATCTGTTTCAAAAGCCTTAAATCGTTTGAGTCACTTCCAGTCATCAATCAACAAAAATTTCTTCGATCGAAATATCATTACGAATTTTCAAATTTATCTCATCAATGTCCCATCCCACGTCTCTCATTTGCTGCAAGAAGTCCTCAAACCGATCATCGATTTTCTTCAGGCTTTCTTTGAGTTGATCAAAACCATCGTCTTGTTTGCTTCGATTCTTGTACAGCCAATACGTTTGCCAAACACTTCGTAGTACAGAGAGGCTTGTTGCTCCATCCTGAGGTTTTATTATAGGAAAAGAAAAGAATATGTGATCATAAGTCTTGTTTTCCATGATGTATTGGAGTGCCACATCGGCTAGACATGTACAATCATACTAATATATACACACAGTAGCCGATTCATGTGAGAACCACAAAAAATGAGACCTGTGAGAATCTATATATTGAATTTCAATGAGTATATGCATCAATGCATATATACTTATATATACTTCCATAGACGGTAGACATGTATTGATGAATATACTCATTGACGGAATACATATAAATATACATCAATAAATACATAGGTCCTTATGGTTCTCAACTTTTTTGTGTTTCTCACGTGAACCTGAGCCTAACCTGAGCCTATATAGGAACATTCCCTCTGAGGCAAGGGTCTTTCAGAGAAAGATTCATAGGGGATCCTACATATTTTAACATGATGGGTGATAAATAGAGGTAGCACCCTCGGTCCGAATTGGGAAAAGAAGATTAAAAAGAAAGAAATATCACCTTCAAACACTTCCATTAGTGATCAACATTTCATACCATAGAATTTCTCTTAAATAAACCATAGTTCTCGCAAAGATGCAGGAACGATATTTCGCTATTTTGGCCAAATTTTGACAATTTTTTCCTTGATCATCATTTTAACACGAACAAACTCATCAAGTCACTTTCTTTAAACCAAACCAAACCAAACCAAACGAACCTAGTATATCCCACACAAAAGTAGGGTCTGGAGATCAAGTCACTTTCTAGGACATAAAGTATGACCAGTCTGCAAAAGTAGTGAGGACATAGAGGTAACTTTCGCAAAATAAGTGACTTTTGTGATATAGTAGCTGAAGATCTTCTTGGAAACAGTATCTTTACCTCTTAGGACAAAGGAAAAGTCTGCATACATCCTACCTCTGAGTAAGATATACTTGGGTTGGTTTAGTTTTTGTGGTATAGTAGCCAAAACTTATTTTACTAGATTACAATGGCTAAACAGATGTTTGCCCCAGATTGGATGGTAAAACAGAATAGAATAAAGAAAAGAAAAGAAAAGTGGAAAGGGGCATACCTTAAAGGAGACGAGGGTCTCAAAATCTTTGAAAGGCTGCTGGTTCACCACCAGAATGTATTTTTCCTTAGCATAGAGTTCCAGAAGCATCTTCACCTATCAACAAGAAGCAAAGCAACACAATGACTCCACTTATGTAGCATGTATGTTTCAAACTAGATAGAAAAAAAAATGTGATTTTGGGTCACATTTATTTGACTATTTACTTGACTTGGTTCTTGTTCTTTCCTTTCAGTCACAGTCACACTTTTGCATAAGTCGGGGGGTCTTCACGAAAATAACGGCGCTACACTTTGAGGCAGAGAACAGGTCTTCTTACGTCACCCAGACCGTGATTTCGAGCAGGATATACAGTATACTGGGTTCTTTTGGTTTGGTTTATTTATTTGGCTCAGCAAGACTTTACATGCTCATCTACAACTTCACTGATTTTTACCTACTAACAGGGATGCCCCTTGGAGCAAGGGGAAACATTTCTGACACGATAGTCATGGGTTTGAGTCACGGAAATACCCTACTTCTAAAAGTATGAAAGGGAAATACTCTGTATAAAGACTCCCCTGTACTGGCACAACCAAGAAGCAATGGTGCACCAAGGTTAACATTGTCCAATGAAAATTGCAAGAGCCAACTTCAAGCATGGCTATTGAAGGCACCCTCACTCAAATGACTAAACTATCCTTCAAAGGTAACTAGGTAACTTTAGCTGTGCCTGACCCTAAGATGTGGATCATCCAAGGCACATTAGCATGGCATACTCCTGTTCCAACCATTGTTGAATCCAAACTTCTCAGAAGTATAGATGGGGTGATTCAGGTAAGATCCAACTTTCGATTCACACATGGGATCCCAAAGGTCACCAAAAATGGAAGGCTGCAACTAATGTATCAAAATAGAAATTTGTACCATTTTCATAAGACGGAAGGGTAACTTATGAATGCTATGGAAATATATTTGTGCAGGCTTTATGGGGAACCAAAAGAAGTTTGATATGACGTGGTATGTCACTCAAAGATCCGTTGACATCATTATGATGCTCTAGATACTTGATTCCACTATTCACAAGGATTTTTAATTTAAGACACGTAAATTCAAGGTCTGGCTTGGGATCGTTTTTGTTTTCTGTTTTTGCATTTATATTTCTAGGAAGTGAAAACCAGACAGAAAACGATGTTTGCAAGCATTTATGTTCTAAGAAAACCAAAACCAGTTCACAAAATTTTGTAAGCAACTTGATTTTGATGTTTTCACGTTTTACAAACCTTAGTTTACAAAAAAAAAATGTGTTGACTGTTTGACTTTAATAAAGATTAGACTTTCCAATCTAGTAAAACACAGATATGTTTACACAAGAGACAGAAAAACAATGGTGTAACCAATCTAGGCCTGAAAGACAGCAACAAATTGAGTAAAACTAAATGAATAATAAGATGAAGGATCTGAGACTTACCTTGAGGCCTGATCTTTCACCACCAAGCATGTCGGACAAGGAAACACCAAACACAATTCGTGGTACCGAAAATTCCTCCCATGATAAGATATTCTCCATTTTGTTGCATTCCTCACATCCTAAATCCAACATAGTGATGAGGAATTTAAATAAGCTACATGAAAAATGAGTTCCATCAAAGGCACAAAGCTTACCCAGAACTGTGGAGTTTGAAACATGCAAATTCACCAAAATCCGAGCTCGCTTTAGATTTACCTGAAAAAAACTGATATAAAAATTGCTGCAAAAATTTCATTTTGCTATGGAAGATTTTCTTTTTCGCTTTGTGGGTACCATCAATATGGAGTGGTTGGAAGGATGATGTTATTGTAAGTCTCGTTTATTTGATATGAGAAGAAATAAAGACGAAGACAGGCCCTCAAAATGAAGATTGGAGAAAATAGCATATAAACCAATGGAACTTGAATGATTTCTAGAGAACTTATCCACAACTTTGATGTTGGAAAACAAGTAGAATCAAGAGTTCTAAAAGATCTAGCTGCTCTGAAAATCGGGTATTTTAGAATTTATCATATTGCATTCAGAATGATTGTACAAAAATAGTAGGTTTGTGAAGCCAGGGAAAGTTGAAAAGTTAAATTTGTTATCTGAAGAATCTTCGTTCCGGTTCAATATAAATACATTTTTAATAAGTTGAAGACGTCCTAATAAACTAGACAAATAAAAAAAAATAGATATGCAACATTATCTCACTGTGTCGAACTGAAGAACTGAAAGAGATTGATAACGTAGCCAAAGGTGCAGAAGCCGCATGGCCATCCATGTTGATGCTAGAACCAGATATGATGTCACAACACCTGGTGTAGACTGCAATAAGATTATAAAATGACACCACATGTCAAAGATTAACAAAACTGAAAAACTGAGGACAACCATGTATATACACATCTCACTGTAATTGTAGAACCCTAAGCTGAAATTTAAGAATCGCAAGTGTGGGTGTGGGTCAACTCTTGACCAAACCATGTAAATCTGTGTCATTGTGCGTTGTTTGCTTTCATAACTTCTGTGTGTTTGCTCGTGTGAATCTCGTCTATTTGATGTTCTAACAACCCCCGCCCCCTCCAAATGAAAAAGAAAAAACACATCAACACGACAAGGAAAAGAGAGTTCCAATATAAGACTTTGATATTGATAATCAACAAGACCTACCAGGATGAATATACCAAGACCAAGGCCAAGGAGCTGTGCAGATACTTCCCAAACTTCCTCCTGGAAAAATAGTCATAAAAGTTCACATAATTTGGTCAAATGACATGGGTAATTTGGTCTGGGTTTATTCTCTAAGTGATTATAGATTGCAAATTGACCCTTGTTAATGTCTTGTTTGTCCGTCCTAAATTTTTTAAATTGAAACAATACGATTGGATACTATCATGCAGATTGAAATTATAAACATACTACCATGAAAAACCGAATCTGAAGTCATATTTTTATAATAGTTCCAAGAAACACACCACAGCTTGTATCACCTCAAAGCCCAAAGCAATAGATTAGCCAAGTAGCCTTTAAATCAACTTAAAACTATGGTGGAACTTATTGGTAATCCACAACTTAAGGTTTATGAGCAGTTCACAAATCTCACTTTCTGTCCATGTGGGATGGGTTATCACTTATCACAACCCCCACTACCCCACCCCAATTTAAAACGAGCTAACAAGCTCACAGATCTTACTTTCCATCAGTGGGGGACTAGTTCCCACGGCCCCACCCCAATTAAAAACGAGCTAACAAGCTCACAAATTTTACTTTCCATCAATGCAGGACTAGTTATCACAAACTTCCCCACTTAAATTCTAGATGTTCTTGTCAGGCCTACCCGGCATCCTCATTGTTCATCGGGGATGTGAAATTCGCCTAAGATGTTACAAACACCTCCCCTTAGGGACTCATAATGCTCAACGAGGTTTTTCCCACCATCCTGATGGCCTAAGGATTGACTTAAATACAATTTGTCATTGGCATCGAGATCGGCTCTGATACAATTTGTTATTCCCCAAAGCCTAAAGCAATGGACTAGCCCAATAACTTCTATATTAACTGAAACCCATGGTGGAAGTCAGTGGTAGCCCACAACGTACGGTTTATTAGTTCAGAAATCTCACTTTCTATCTGCGTTGTACAATTAAATCATTCTTTTGGCCACAACTTAAATAATTTGACTTTGAAGAAACTATGGGGAAGACCTTGGATTATATGTTTAGTCCAGTATCACCCATGGAAAATCCAATCAATCAAAAATTGCGTAATTATTGATGTTTAGTTTGGTATCACCCATGGAAAATTCAATCATTCAACTCACAAGAAGTAACTCTTGTTTATTATTATTATTATTATTAGAATACTCATCTTTAGCTGATCGTCTTGGACTTGTAGGGAGTCTAATAAGAGCTCAAACAATTTGGTAGAATGAAAGGAGTGGAAATCGCCAATTGATTATAAACGAAATTGGAAACTTACAATTGAAAAGAAAAAAAAGCAAACACGATTCCAGGGAAAACTTCCCTCTCACAAAGCCACAGCTAAGAGCCTAACTCAATTAACAAGAAAAATCACAATGAGCTCATGCTACCAGCATTCCCGCCATTTATTAGACACGCTTCAATTTGTAATAGCTAATGGGGCCCAACCTATCTTCCACTCTTTTGGGCCGTTTGGAATAAACATTCAACACTTTGGGCTTGGTAAAGATTGGATCAGATTAGAAGGATCCGTATCATTACTCCTTCCTTCCAATAAAGTCTTATCCTCAAGACTTGTATCCAAAAATTGACCCTTGATTACTTTTGCATCCTCCCACGTAGCTTCTTCCCGAGTCTGCCCCTGCCAACATATTAGCCATTGCTCCACTGATTCCCCATCTTGTACAACTGTTCGTACCGCATAAATCTCTTCGGGAGACGGTAAATCTTTGTCATCTAATTCTAGCTCGGGAGGTAAAACTTGAGCAACCGTAGGCGACAAAACAACTTTTTTTAGTAATGAGATATGAAACACCGGATGTACACGTGACGATGGAGATAAATCCAGTTTGTAAGCAACCGGTCAAATCTTTTCGATAATCTTGAACGGTCCAAAGAATCGAGCTGCCAACTTTTGATAAATCCGTTTAAGTCACAGTCATTTAACAATACGGTTTCAACTTAACATAAACCCATTCTCCAATCTGAAGACTCGCATCTCGAAGCTTTTTATCAGCCTGTTCTTTCATCAAAGCCTAAGCATGAACTAGATGCAACTTGAGTTGTCTTAGAGCTTCGTCACGGTCACGTAATTCCTCCCCTACTGCTTCCACTCGAACTTCCCCCTGAATAAATTGAACCACCGTCGGGGCGCTTACGGCCACAGACTATTTCGAATGGAGATCGACCTGTGGAACCGTGAAAGGTCGAATTATACCGAAATTCCGCCCACGAAACCTACAACGCCCATGAACGTGGCTGATCACCGCAGATATGTCTCTAAAGAATGGTTTTCACTTCTGTTTGACCATCCGATTCTGGGTGATAAGCAGAACTCATGTTTAGCGTCGTCCCTTACAAACGAAAAATCTCTTGCCAAAAATGACCAAGGAACAGAGGATCACGGTCATTGACGATGGACTTGGGAATTCCATGATGTCTGACCACTTCTCGAACAAAAATTTCTGCCATGGACTTAGCTATATATGGGTGTTTGATCAGTATAAAGTGGTTGTATTTGGACAATCGATCCACCACCACTAGAAGAGCATCATAGCCTTTAGACTTGGGTAAACCCAAGCTAAAATCCATTGATAGGTGTTTCCATATCGCATTTGGGATGTCGAATGGTTGAAGCAACCCACTTGGAGACGTTGAACTAGCCTTATATCACTGACATATGTCACAAGCCTTCACGAATTCTTGCACCTTAGCGATCATTCCTAGCCAATAAAAATCTGTGGCCAAGCGACGATAGGTTCGATAATATTCCGAGTGTCCCTGGGTAAGAGGTATGAAATTCCTTTAAAAGAGAAGGAATCAATTTCGATGTACGAGGAATCACCAATCTATCCTTGTAATACAAAGCATTATGTCGAACCATATACCCGGGATGGGTACTTGGGTCGTTCGTTAAGTCACGGATAATCTTTTGTAAACCTGGATTGTTACGCGCTTCCTCCATAAGTTGAGTCCCTTGGACCCAAACTGGCCCCGACATCAACGAAGTCAGCTTACCATCTTCTTCCCGTTGAGACAACACGTCGGCAGTCCTATTTTCACGACCCGGTTTGTACAAAATATCAAACTCATATCCCAGCAACTTGGCCACCCAATTTTGTTGGCCGGGATTCGTAATACGTTGTTGCAGCAAGAACTTGAGGCTCTTCTGATCCGTATACACACAAAATTTAGTCCCAAATAGATATGAACGCCAATGCTGAACAACCCTAAAACCAGTGCCATAATTTCTCTTTCGTATGCCGACTTCGCTAAATTCTGCTCACTCAACGCCTTACTGAAGTAAACAATGGGTCTTTGTTGTTGTATCAAGACTGCCCGGATGCCCCGACCCGGAGCATCGCATTCGATTGTGAAGGCAATCAAAAATTTCGGTAAGGCCAACACCGGAGTCGTGACATGGCTCGTTTCAACTCATCAAAGGTTGTTTGAGCTTCCATACTCCATCCGAAAGCGTCCTTCTTGGTTAAATCTGTCAACGGCTTGGCAATACTACCGTAATGACGAATAAACTTACAGTAGTAACCCATAAGTCCCAAAAATCCACGTAACCCTTTTAGTTGTTTCGGAACTGGCCAATCCAACACAGTCAAGATCTTCTTATGATCCATGGCCACTCCTTGGCCATTAATAATGTGTCCCAAATAATCAATAGTTGTTTATCCAAACGCACATTTTTTCGATTGACTACAAACTGATTGGAGAATAAAATTTGAAGAACCGTGCTCAAATCTTCCAAGTGCTGGAATCAACAAAGGCTGTAAATCAGGATATCATCAAAGAAAACCATGACAAATTTTCCATAAATAAGGCCGAAAAATGTCGTTAATAATGGCTTGAAAGCTGGTCAGCGCATTAATGAGGCCAAAGGGCATCACTAAATACTCATAATGGCCATCGTGGGTACGAAACGCCATCTTCTCAGTCTCAATGTTGTTGGGTTTCATGCGAATCTGATCATACCCTGATTTCAAGTCCAATTTCGTAAAAAAAATGGGCTCCAGTCAATTTATCGATGAGTTCTTCGACAACCGGAATCAGAAATTTGTCAAGAATGGTAGCCTTGTTGAGAACACGATAGTCTACGCACATTCGCCAAGAGTTGTCTTTCTTTCAAACTAAAATTACCGGGCTCGAGAAGGCACTTTTACTATGACGGATCATTCCTAAAGAAAGAAGTTCCTTCACCTACCGTTCAATCTCCGCTTTCTGAATATGCAAGTACCAGTATGGACGAAAACAAATCGGGGAAGTAGGGGATACTTGTCATGATCATAATTACAAGTAGGAGGAAGACCCGTTGGGTCATGGAAAATTGCCGCAAATTGATCAAATAGACGTTGTAAATCAGCATGCTGCTCCTTGGATAACATATCGTCCCGTTTATCAGAATCCACAACGTGTCAACCAACCGCTAAATCATTATGAGGCTCTTCCAACGATAACCAAGTATGAAGGGAAGCTTGCTTTACCTCCGAATCAAATAATCCTTGGATGCAAACTGATTTTCCACCCAACAAGAACCGTATCGATTGATTTTTCCAATTATGCACCACTTCTCCCAAGGTTTTTAGCCACTCCATACCCAAAACTAAGTCTTAAATGACCCATTTCGAAGAGCAAGACATCCACCACAAAATCACAGCCACTAATCAACACTAGTAATTTTAAACACCGTCGATTCACAAAAATCATATGCCCAACTCCCAATTTTATATTGATACCAGAGAAAAGTTGAGAAGATATTCCCAACGTCGTGACCAGTTTATGAGATACAAAATTATGAGTTGCGCCACTATCCACCAAAAATTACAATCGGTATTCCCGAAATGGCCCCTTGGATCTTCAAGGTTTTGCCCCCGGATTCAGCCGTAGCTAAGGATCCCTAAAACTCCAGTATGGTACACAACCCGATCGGCGATGATTCCTCGTCGCCACCCAAACTATCTTCAGACGCATCCATGGCCCTAATTTCACCACCATCATCAACAATTTCATCATCAGCCAACAATAGAACCCTCAATTTACCCTCCGGACATTTGTGAGCTGGACCGAAATCCTGACCACAACGAAAGCATAGATCCTTCTTTCGACGATCCTCCCATTTAGTACGAGTAAGAGAACAAAAGCCTCTATTCCGATTTCCTACAATCGACGAATCGGAAAATGGGGTTGGATTAGGTCGTGTAGAGGAAACAGACCGATTGGGCTCCGATTGATTGGACTCATATCGTGGAGTTGGGCCCTTGTCATTAAACCCACTACTAACAGGTCCTTTAAAATCAGGCCGGCCCAAGGAATGCTTCAGATCTAGTCGTAAGGTCGATCCGGGACCACTCCCATTGCTATGATAGCGAAATCGAAACTAGGAAACACTAATCACAGATGGACGCAGCATTTTCCTCAACGTCTTTGGCCAAATAATAGCGTCCAAACGAGATTGAGGACGATGAAGTCGCACCCAACGTTTTACCTCATCTCGTAAACCCGCTATGAAGTATCCCAAAGCTTGGGACTCCGGTAAACGAGGAACTAACGACAATAGATATTCAAAATCTTCGATATATTCATGAATGGAATTTATCTGTTGAAATGTTGCCAATTGCTCATAAGGATTTTGAATCTCCAAACCACTGAAGCATTGTAGGAGCTCTATGGTAAATTGATCTCACGATAATGGCACATAAATGTCCTTTACGATGGTAAAGCAGTGTTGAGCGACCCCTACCATGCGTTGCACCAAACGGATGCGTAGTTGTAGAGAAATCCCATGGATCTCAAAGTAGAGTTCCGCCTTTTTGATCCATCCTTGAGGATCGAAACCAAAAAAAACTCCGGCAACTTCACCTTCTTTGCTGCCCAAGGAAGGTGATCGTTTGATAATTGCTCCCTTCCCTTATCAAAGGAAAAGTTGGATTTCTTCTGAGAGAAAAAATCCGATTGATCCTCCTCAAAAATACCTCCCGATGGCTTACCTTGTTGTTTCACCCAATTCATCACAAATTTGTGAAACTCAGCCTGTTCCACTTGATCCAATTCCACAGAATGTATTGACGATTTGATCTCAATCACATCTAATTGAAGTTTCTGAATCTATTCCTCATGACGATCCAATCGAGCTTGTTGAGAACGAGTTTCCATGTAGAATTCTGGATGATCAACTGTAAGTCAGACCAATAATAAGAACTCAAACAATTTGGTAGAATGAAAGGATTAAAAGGCAGGGGAAATCACCAATTGATTACAAACGAAATTGGAAACTTACAATTGAAAGGAAAAAAAAAAAAAGCAAACACGATTCCAGGGATAACTTCCCTCTCTCAAAGCCACAGCTAAGAGCCTAACTCAATTAACAAGAAAAATCACAATGACCTCATGCTACCAGCATTCCCGCCATTTGTTAGACATGTCAATCTGTAATAGCTAATTGGGCCCAGCCCTATCTTCCACTCTTGTGGGCCGTCTGGAATAAACATTCAACACTTTGGGCTAGGGTAAAGATTGGATCAGGTTAGAAGAATCCGCATCAGAGACTTGTTGACTTTGCAAGACACGCATTAGGGACATGGATATCAAGTGAGTTTTATGTGCTATTTTACTAGGTAGCATGCAATGTTTTTACTGCAGTTAAAAAAGGTTCTTGGTATGTTAAATGCTATTGTGAAAAAATTTAAGCATGGTTGTATATGTTATATGCTTGAAAATGCAAGAATGTGAAGATATTGATATATTTTTATATGTGAACTGTAGTAGACTAACACACTGGTAGTGATTGTTATGGGACTGTTACGATCCCTAGAGATGTTTGTCATAAGAACAAGACTGCTCTTGACAGTATATACACCGTAAAAGCATACAAGTGGGTTTGCCAGTAGTTAGATTTATCGTAAGAGCAAGACAAGTCTTGTCGGGTTGGTAGAAATGATTCGGCATGACAAAGTAGGTTGTGTCGGGTAGATCACAACTAATCTACATAGTCAACAGAGTCGAGCATTATTTTGCGCAGCTTAAGGGGTTGTTTACTTATTTAGCAGTTGCTGAATGGTTTGATGCAGAATGATTAAGTGATTAGAATGATTAAGAGGCTCTCATGATATAGTGCAAAATGAAATATAACTGTTTGGTAATTGTTTACAATGAAATTAGGGCGCTGAATGGTTAAGGGAGGCCCAGGATACAAAATCATTAAGAGGGTTTTAAAACCATTAAGAGGCAGACTTTTTTTTGCCAAACAAGATTCACCTCTTAACGATTCAGATGTTGTCTCTTAATGGAACTATTAAGAGGTAAACAAACAACCTTTTACATGCATAATTATGAAACAAATTTAGTGTTAGTATTTGAAATGTTATCTGAAATGAATGATGTCATTATTATAAAACAATGATTCTCACTAGGCCTTTACTTACCCAAAACTCTGTTAAAACCAATGCAACCAACCCTAGTATTTGACGTTTTGATCCGAGGGTGTAGTACGAGAAGTGAAGATCCGAGGATCAAGATGAACAAAGTTGAAGGTGCTAATAATATAAATGATACTTGTCGAGTGTCATATATTATCTTCGATTCTTCAAGAATTTAGGATGTTAGCCATCTCTATTCAGATTTTAGAAGTTCTATTTCCCCTGTGATGTACGACATCACGGAATCATATTGGGATGTATTTCAGAGTATATTGTGCTATTAAAATTTTGGAATGCTACAGCCAAAGTGGGAGGAAGCCAAAAAATTATGCGATCAAACAGTGTGAAAAAAGAAACAACCGGCATACTAATCATACAAAAGACACGTAGCCTTGATTTTGGTTCACATGACTCCTTTATTTTTCTCATGAGGGATAATTTGATGTTAGGCTAATGGTCAAACTGTTTCCTTAAACCATGTGTGATGTCAAACATTGCATTTATTTTGGGAAGTCAAAGTAAGAACACCATATTAACATGCTATTATACCTTTGCTGCTACATCTCCAAGATTTCCTGAAATAGCAAAATGGTTTTGAATCACACGAAATGAAGGATCCTTTAGCCCTCTTGCCACAGCCTGTCCAAGTTGCCAAACAGACTAACTTACAAAAAAATTGAAAGCAGAGAAAATGAAAAATACTTAAAGGTACACAATGGTACATAATTCAAGAACTTAAAGGTAGCAGATCAGTGACTTCTAGAAACTTATACTCCTCATGGTAGTCAATTTGTGAATCAGATCAAGATTCAAGAACAAGTATACTAATTTCATGAATCTCAAAGAATTTTCAGCTTTTTCTAAAATCATAAAATGCTTTATCTGACATGCACAAATATAAAAAGTAAAAAGCATAAGCAGTCTAGTCAGGCATACGACATAATATGCTTGCATTAATCACCAAAGAAAGGACTTGTCCCATTAGTCAGTCATTATGACTTCAGCAAATACCAATAAAGAATCTAGAAATTCTTGTGGCTATTAATAAGTTCTCAATGAATAAACCACACATACTGACCCAAAGAAAAAACTAAGTTGTAAAAGCTGACTATACAAATTGATTCATGATACAACGATAATTAGTCATTATGATAGGCAATCAAACAGCATTCCTTTAAAAAATCTGAGGTTCACAATGTTTGACAACTATGATACTATGTGACATAATCTTTTATTTCTTTCCATATAAGTTCTTTCAGTTTTACTTTTTATATAATAAAGGAGTAGAATTCTAATCTTTTGATCAATCTTGTAAATCAGAATTCACTTCAGTAGGACCTTTCAAACAACGACAGTACTGACAAATGGAGTACCTTAGCAAGATTCCCCAGAGATGCTAGTGGCAGGAAATATGCAGGGTAGAGAGGTGTACAGAGATCAAAGATGCTGCATCACATTAAAACACAGAAGAGAGATTATAATTTTTAAAACAAGAAACTAGGGTGGAACAAGAATCTGATGGCGCCAAGTGGTTAAACATAATTAATAGCAACCAAGTGCAATGACATCATGTATCACTCACCTTCCAGCACTGCCAATGAAGTCAGCATACATGCGCCATTGTTTAGGATCATCATCAAAAAGATTTCCAAATCGTCCACCTGGAAAACGTGATTGTGATTCTTGCGACCGTACGAATAAAAAAGATTTAGGGTCACTGTCTCCATTTATGAGATTTCAATGAAACCGTACCAATGAAAAACCGTCCAACAGCACCAATCCCATCTTTCGACACCCATCTACATGTTTTCGTAAATGTCATAAGCCAGAAACAACTATGTTATGCTACCACTTTCCATCTGTCATGAGCACTCATCTTTGACCCACTTTTGGACTCAATATGTCACTAGCTTTCTCGCTTATCCTTTCATATCCTCTTTGTCCAAAAATAAATGCAAAGGTTGACTTGGAGCATGGTTTAATAAGAATATATAACATTTAGTTAAATATCTAAATGAAATGCCCCCAAAATAAACACAAAATTGAGTAATGTTGTGAACCAAAAGTGATGGTATCACTCATCTGTTATGATTACTAACAGGCAGTCAACCGTCACAAGTTGACTGATTCATAATGAAAGCACCTATAGATAGAAGCCATTTGCCAATAGGTAGACTCATTATCAATGCCGTAAACATGTAAATTTGGATTAAATCCTTACAGAAAGGAAATGTCTGTTGTATTGTGAGACAACCCTAAAAAGGAAATCATTGCATTAATTTCATAATGGAGGGCATAGATAGAAAATCACCTGATGGCAGCAGCAGAAGCTGCAGCTGTAGTTCCAGAAGAATAGTCCAAACCAACTGCCTGTACATTAATGCAATAGACTTACAAAAGGTGTGAAATGGGAAACAACACCGTGGTCAAAGAAGGGTATCATCTTCAGGCTTGTTTAAAGAAACTATAATTAAGCTGCAAGAACTAGAAATATAGCAAGAAACAAATCATGATATTGACAAAAGATGAAATAAACGCTAGAACACTAAAATGAGAAAACAAAGAGAAGAATAAGAAAAATTAGGGATCAAAATGCTCACCAAAGAAAAGAAAGATAGAACAAACAATTAAAATTAGCTAGCGAGTTATATATTCCCATGCCTTCACATACCCAGTCAGAAGTACTGGCTTGAGTTAGATTGACGTGCCTTTAGAAGACTTGAAGTGACCAACGTCTGACAGATCCATGCAGTGACATTGGTTGGGAACTGTAACAGCATATATTCCAAGTAATCATTAGAAACAGACCCTGCATTAAATAATGAAAGAAAAAAAGGATTAGAGCAGAAAAACATAGGTTTTCAAGTAGACTAACCAAATGGTGTACTTAGTCTGTCTTATTACACAACAAAGATAATGGTACCAAAATTTACAACTTGCAGCTTTCAAGGATAACAACATCAATTCATGCTGATTTCTTTTATATTTCTCCATTCCATTCGAGTCATATGAAGCTGATTACACCATTCGTGAGAAAAAAAAATCAAATTGAGGGTCGGGGGGAGAATTGGCCATTCAGTCTTGTGAAACAGTCGAGACGAGAATTGGAGAGTTGCAAATAAAAAGAAAAAACAATTGATGGAAGAGCATGAAACCATTCAGTTTGAGTAGAGATACCCATTTTCCATCAAATATAATAGAACTCAACAAAAAAGAAAGAAGTATGAACAGTTGCTAGTTACCTGGGAAGCCAGCAGGTAGAACAAAATCTTTAACTATATCGGGAAGCCAGGGCAGTTCCTTCGAAGAAAATCCATTAGATTTGGAATCATCCTCGAGAAACGTTGTCAGCTGCAATTCTTCATCCAGTATATACCTGACTTGCAGCAACAGAACTTAAGAAAAACATATTGCACCAATACTAACCAACACCAAAACATAGCGATCCTGAATTCAAAACTACAATTTTATCCCAAAATTACCAATAAGGTGATGAATGCAGGGCCGTTCCCGGGATGGGCGGGACGGGTATACCCCCAGGGCCCACAACAAAATAAGGGCTCAATGTTGTTCGATATACTATATATATAGTAGTAATTTAAAAAAATTAATAAATAAAAGAAAGAAAAAAATTTAGTTTCTAATATAATCTTAAAAGAATTATATCGGAGAAGAAAATATGTGAAAAAACTAATTGGTTGTTCATTTTGGAGTATTGCTTATTGTTTCTCTAAGTTTTTTATATGCTACTAAAATTCCAAACTACTTTGCCTAGAAAACATTGATATATTCCCCATCATTCATCTCCCACCTACTCTTTTGAATATTCCATCCGCATGAATTCTATTTTTGTATCAGAATATAAAGAGATTTCTTGTTATTAACTAAGAAAAGTCCTACTTTCTGAAGGGAAAAAAAACTATCAACTATATAAGACGATCCAACTTATATATTTAGGATTTCAAAACTACCCTTATTTTTCATACATCATTGACTCCTTATTACCTAATATTGACTGCATTAAATTTAAGTACTCTCTGGTCTCCTGTCTCTAAAACAAGAATAAACCAAAGTGGACTTTTGATTATAAGATTGATGGTTCCTACAAATTTTGTTTTACCCTAAAAGTTTAAAATGGTGATGAAAACATTAACATGATGTGACATGGAAACCCAAAAGATTTGCATTGACTTACATAAAGTGTTACTTTAAATAGTCAACATTGTAACCCCAAAACGATGTCAATCTATATACAATAGGCACATCATAGAATGTATTGGCGGTGGAACAAAATTACCATGTTATGTAAAAGTGATATGGTAGATAATATTAATTTAGAAGTAATTATTGATTGATTTTGCGTCTAGGAATACTCAAAATTACAATTTTATATGAATTATTAGTATTTTTTGAACTCAATGTTATTTCTGATGATAAAAAAAACTTTTCATACTTATTGAGGGCCCCATTTTACATCTCGCCCAGGGCCTATAAAATGTCAAGAACGGGCCTGGATGGATGCATCAATCTTAAACATAAAGGTTTCAGTTAATTTGCACAGTGCTACATGGCAAATACGTAATCATACTCTTTTCATGTTGATGCCATGAATAAGAAGAAAAGAAAATGAACACCGTATTAGCATTACCTTTTGTTTGGAATTAATTATAGAATTAGTGATCTTCTATCATACACTCTTCATTTGTTGGACTTGGGATGTCAAGATAATTAAAGGAAATTATAATCGAGGTCTTGATCATGTTGGGATCTACAATTTTGAGTATTTCTTTGAAATTATAGATCGAAATTTATAGATGCGTAAGTAAATGTTTGTTTTGCATCTGAGTGAGATTAAAATAGTCATCCTTATTCTGAGTTGCAAAAATGCATCTTAAAATGCACTCAGACCGATGATTATAACTTGTCAGGTAAAATATGTTTCATTGTTAATTTCTGTGCCTTCATTTTGGGGAAAAGTTTTCTACAAGATTATGGCACTCATAAAACCATCGTTACTATCATAGATGTTCTTTGGTGGTTGTAAGATTACCACATATTAACATTATGTACACACAAGTACACATGTTCTTATACATATCTAGATGTCCTACTGCATCCACATATACTCCTGAGTCCGGCCTAGGCACTTGCATCCAGCCCAACAACATTAATGGGCAAAATTACTCTATGGTCAAGCCTAAACATGAAAATATTTGAAGTTCACCCATTGCAAGACATGATGAATCGGAAGAATAAATATAGTTATAACACTTTCATCACTTTCTGATGCTCATCTTTGAATAATCTGAACAAGAAATGGACCCCTTTTTCCTGTAGTGGGGACGTGTAGGTTACAATTTCAATAAGTGAGAAACATAAGAAGTAAATATATACCACCTCCATTCAAAATTAATGCAAGACTTAGTTAGGTAATATAAACTATATTTCGGAAGGCATGATCTCGAATAAGAGTTCATGGAGACGCAGGACTAGGTAGTAGATGGGAGTAGGGGAAGGACGTGGAGAGATAGGGGAGGGTTAGAGAGTCAAAAGGTAGGTACCAAAGTCCTCGGATGGTTAGCTAGATATGAGAGCCTGTTAGGGGAGGGTTAGAGAGTTAACCGCTACTTTGTCCTTAGTTTAGTGATTTTGTACATTCCCGTATGCTTTTATTGTCCTTGCATGCTTTATAATTCTTTCTTGTTACTTTGTCTTCAATGTCCATAACCTGCTTTTCCATCTTTTTTATTTATTTCTCTTTCCTCTTCTTCCAAACATGTGTCAAACTTTTAGAACCAAATTTATTCGCCAAATCCCATTCTCTTAAACCTTTTTAGAAGTCAGGGTTTTCATGGAAACAACCTCTCTACCCAGCAAGATAGAGGTAAGGTTGACGTGCATCCTACCTTATCTAGACCCTACTCGTGTAAGTTGATGGTCCACTTCATTGACTGGCACATACCGAGGTGATAGCGAGGTACGATTAGAGGCAACCATCCATATAGAAGTTTAAAATGGTGTCATTCCAATCGAAGCATGATAGGTGGTGGTGTACCAAAACTCGACCCATGGAAGGAAGGAAGTCCATTTCCGTGGACGTTGATGGGTTAGGCATCGGAGATATTGCTCAACACATATGTTGTCAACCTCCCATCTGCCATCAGGTAATAAGCAGAGCTCATCGTTAATTGAGTGCCCGATAACTTGAAAAATTCATGCCACAAATTACTGATTAAGATTGGATCTTGATCACTAACAATGGACCTTGGCATTCCATGTAACTTCACAACATTTTCACGAACTTTTCAGCAACTAGTTTCGCAGTGAAAGGGTGAGCCAAAGCCAAGAAATGAGTTAACTTAGTCAGTCAACAACCATAAGAGTTGTATTTTCTCTATTGGATTGAGGTAGCCCCTCAATTAAGTCCACCATGATGTCATCCGACGCTTGACATGGGATGGGTAGCGGTTACAAGAGTTAGGGGGGGAAGTGTTGATGATTTAGCTCGTTGGCAGGTGTCGCAAGAAGGGACATACTATTGTACCTTTTGTCGCATTGATGGCCAATAGAATCGTTGAGCAAGGCGTTTGTAAGTCCGAGGAACTCCTGAATGACTTCCAACCGGAGAATCGTGAATTCTACTAAGAGCTCTCAGATGAAAACAGAATGAAATTGATATTCCAACTAAAAATGATTAATGATTTCCAACAATTCAAGAAGTTGGGGTCTCCCAAGGCTCACGCCAAAATCGGTGTTTACAAATCTGGTACCCTTTTCTACGACCCTCTTACCAAATCAACAAACTACTTGCTACTTTACCCTTTTTACCCCCTTGGAACATATACCCTAAGTCACTAAATTGCCTTTGCACAACACTTACATCTCCCATACAGTATGTCATTACAACACTCTCAGCTTCCAGGTTATAATAAAAGGTAAGGACGAAATATGAGTTCAACGTAGAGGGTGCATTACAAAGACCGAAGGACATGATATGGAATTCATAACGACCATTATAAGTACGAAATGCAGTTTTATGAGTGTCCAACTTACATATCCGTAGTTGATGGATACTCAGGCCTCAAGTCTTATTTGGTAAAATAGGTTCTCCCATAAGTTCATCAAGCATGTCATTGATGGTTGGAATTGGAAATCGATCCTTAACGGTTACGGCATTAAGAGCTCAATAGTCAACACAAAAATGCCATGTCTCGTCTTCCTTTTTGACCAATAATACAGGAGATGAAAGGGGACTAGTGTTGGATTTAATAAGCCCCAATTTTAACATGTCATGAACTTGTTTTTCAATTTCAGCCTTTTGAAGGTAGGCATACCTGTAAAGTCTCACATGGATAGGTTCAACTCCTTTGAGTGTGATGTGGTGATCAATTTTCCTGGGTTGAAGAATTTGTTTTTGGCTCTTCAAAAATATCCTCAAAAAAATTCACCAATTGTTGCATATTTGGGTCCAACCCTTCTTGCGGACTGTCTGTTTTGGTGTGTAGTCAAATAGCAAACCTTGCATGTCCTTGGCAAATTCCTTAGAGACCGCCTGCAAAGATGCTGATTGAATCTGTTGAGCAACAAACCCTTGGAATTTGGGAGCATTATTATTCCATTTGAACTCCATGGTCATTTCCTTCCAATTGCACGTGATCATGCCTAGCTGTTCCAACCATTGGACTCCTAGCACCATATCCAACCCCATTAGTGGTAAAGAATAAAGGGTTAAGGTAAAAGGTATACCTTCCAACAAGACTTGCATATTCTTAAACCCCCATTGACATTTTAATAGAGCTCTATTTATCACTTTGACAGTAAAGGGATCGGTAGGAATCACAAGTTGCCTTAAACATCCAACCATTAGTTATTGATGAGATTATGAGTTGAGCCACTGTCAATCAAAACAACCAGCTCATGATTTCCAACCTTGGCTGTGACACGCATTGCTTGGGGTGACGACCATCATGTGAGGGCATGGAATGATATCTCAAGTTTGTCAAAGTCCTCTTCTTTTTCCTCATCAAACTCATGTGGACCTACGGTACCCCATTAGCATCGACACTTTCAAGTAGCATCAGTTGTGGCCCTTGACATTTATGACCTGGAGTGAACATTGCATTGCAATTAAAGCAAAGGTCCAAAGCTCATCGTTTATGCATCTCATCCTAAGTAAGCCTCTTTATGGCCGAAGTTGGTTTTGGTTTTGTTTTTGTTGGACAAGTGTGGAACGGGTGAACGGCCTGATAACATTCTGTTGACCCATTAGTTATTCATCCTTCATTCGCGCAAGGCTAATAGCTTCCTTTAGCAATTTCGGTTTAAACATGTGAATACCATCGGTGATTTCTGACTTAAGGCCTCCCATAAATGTCCCTACAAGTGCCTTTGACATCCAACCTTGAACCCGATTTCGCAGCCTCTCAAACTCCTAGTAATCGCACAGGGAGCCCTTTTGTTTCACCCGCGATAAGGATTCATCAAAGTCTTCACATTCGGTAGGGCCAAACCTTACCCACAACTCGTCTTGAAAGATTACCCAAGTAACTTCCTTACCATCTTCTTGGAAGGCATGACGCAACCATTGCCACCATTGATTAGCCTCCCTTTCAAGATGGAAAGGGGCCTACGGCACCTTTTATGGCTCTGACATCCTTTGATACTCAAAAAATTGCTCCACTTTTGCCAACCATTCTATAGGATCGTCTCCAGAAAAGCGAGGGAACTCCAATTTAGCCATTTTCAATGAGCACAATGGCCTTTCTCCGTCATTATCTTGCGGGTTGGAGTCTTTGTTATGGCAGGAACGATTGTTTGCGGTTTCTTTTGAAGAAAGCACAACACCGGCTAGCTTTTTGATGGTTTCCTCCATCTGGTGAAGCTTGTCTGTGACACCCGACTCCAGTTTACTGACATGGTCTTGAACTCCTCCTAGCCCCCTCACGCCTTCAAATTTTCAATCCTTCTTGTTGGTTGCCATGAGAGACAAGCTCCAATACCAATGATAGGTCCCAATCAAAGCTTAACAAAGAAATAAATTGTGTAAGAAGTGTTCTGCTTAGGGTGAGAACTAAAGCACGGGTTTTTTTTAATTAGAATTAGCTTTTCTCATTAATGCATTCATATCTTCACCCAAAATATTTAGGATTTGGTTTACTTGCTCTCTGTGATCTTCTCGATCTATCCTATTTTAATGGAAGTGTTTGCCTATCTAGTTAAATATCTAAAATAACAAAACCTGGGAATCTTGAGAGTCATAATTTCATGATAATTTCTAAAGGGATAAAGGTAATTTTGTTTTGAGAATTCAAAAGAAAAAGAAAGGTTTGCATTTATTTTAGGACATCCAATAGTAAAAGTGTTGGGCATACAATTTTAGCCCAATATGAAATATAATCACTTCCATATTCAACCAGATCCAAATTGTACAACATGAAATGCAAGTGGAAATACCTCTTTAAAGTTCCATCCCCGTATTTTTCCACCAAAACAACCCGATGCTGGCTACCATCGCTGCAGCCAAAAACAGAATAATCTTACAAATAGAGAAGGGAAAGATATATATATATATATATATATATATGATTCAAAACAGCTCCACATAAAAAGTATCAAAAGAGAAGAACAGTTTTATAATCTCAACAAACTAATGAAGGAGCTTCAACCCTGAATGAGCAA